TTAAGGTTGATATCCAGCTACCTATCTCATTAAATATTTTTGTTTGACATTAATTTTCTTATCGTTATATCCGAAGTGATTTTAAAAATAAATAACTTTACTTGAATTCTATAATCAATATATAAAGAAATAAGAAAAATCTATGATTACAATTTTTAGAATGATCATATATGAATCATATTAAACGCTCGGTTGTTCCCGCGTTAAAACTATGTAAATCATGACATTGAATAGATGCAAATACATTTTCTGTAAAATATATTTTTAGGTAAAATACACTTTTTAAAAAATTTATTACAGCTAATCAGACTACTCGTTTGTATGGTTGTGCACATGATTTCAGGTGAAAATAAGGTAACTCTTGTTTGCTATTTGAAATAATATTTAACTTAACACTGCTGTAATCTTATTTAATAATCTGTTCGGTTAGTAACTCGCCGAATCGTTAAATATCTCGCTTTTCCAAGTGTCAGTACGCCATTAAACGGCACACGTAATCGATTTCAACGTAACATATTTCTTTTTTGATTATGTCACGGAAGCATGATTTAGTACGTTGGATTCGGTGGTTATTAGTCGGATATATTTTCCGGTTTCTTATCTATGATTCTGACGGGTTCTAGTTCCCTGCTCCTGTTCGAGTACACCCACGCACGGTTTCCTTGTCACTTTTTCTGAAATTCTACGGTTTCGCTTCTATCAACTGTTAATTAGTTCCTCAATGATTCAAAACTACTATTAAAAGCTATACGAAGGTTGTAATCATTCTTCTATATTCCATATTGTGCTCTTATTCGATTTATTATTTTTACAATAGACTTTATCATACCTTTAATAAAATTCCAACGATCGTCGACAACTATATCCAAAATTTTATTCAGTAAACAAGCACAGGCTAAGAATAACGAATAGAGTTACTGAATGTTAATGAAGACAACGAATGTTAATCGAAAAAGAATTCATTCGAATCATTACGTAGTCGATATTCCAAAAAGGTTTATCGTCTATTAAACACACAAATTATTATTTTTATACACACTCTTATCGAATTCTTCTGTGATATCCACATTTATAATGAACTTCTTCCAACTGTTAAACTTGAGAGTTCATCACTTACTGATAAACTAACCAGTGCGTAACTAAATAAAGCTAATACCTATACATTAAATTGAAAAAAGAACTAATAACATAACAATGAAGAAAAATATACGACACAATATAAGATTAGGTATAACAACATATACCACTGGACAAGTGGAAGGTTAAACAAAATAATGTGATCTTGATTTCAAAGGAATCCGTACGCAGCCGACGCGATTCCTTTGTCCTGTGGTTTTTAAGGATTTGTAAATATTCCAGTAGTTTCATTTGCGGTCGAGACACACCGTTCCTCAGTCTTGTCACCGACCTCGGCCATTCCTTCGTCACAACCGGTCTTATTCGTCCTGAAGTTAAATTTGCTCGACTCGCAGTTCCCGCTTTTCTCGGTGAAACGTGTCTCGAAAGTGGATAGGTAGCCGAGTTTGTTTATATATGTATATTAAAATTATATATAGATCATTATTTTCTTTTATGCGGTACATGAATTCCAACGGCGTTGGCATTACATACAACACCGTTGTAATGTTTTCTATCAGTGTACATATGTGTACTGTGAGGCGTTGTTCGCCTTTAGTCGCCAGGTTCATTTGTTATCAACAGTTTCCCGATAATGGACATTCAATTGTTTTTGTTCGACGTATTGGCAGCATACGCTTCGTGTTATTTATTTTGTTTGAAAGCATTTTCTCGCTATTTCGTAAATTTCTGAACATTTTCTTTATGCGGTCCCTATCCACCGTACAGAAACAGGTTTAACTGTATATATATAAATATACGTTTATAGAGTTACGTATATTCATACATATATATAAATTTTTTTACACGTGAACACGAATGGCAGACGACGTATCACACACTGTATGTACTGTTAGCTGAATGTGGGATACGAGGTGGATGTTCTCCTGTCCGGCTACTGGTTCCATTATCGTGCCAGATACACAGAGACACGCAGACTCGTCTTCAACAGGTTATAACGTTCGTTCATCCAGATCGTGGACTGAGAGTATTTTGTTCTCATGCATTGTAATTGGAAAGCGACCACTGTAGGATAATTCTGATTTTAAACCTTTGACCATTGTGATTTTTCACAAAATTTGCATAAATTTGTCTGCAATGTTTGAAACATTATTTTTATATTTCACGATATGTTAGACATATCACTCTGACATGTTAGAAATAATATGTAAAAATTTCGAATAGAATACTTCAAAATTGTCTTCGAAACAAAGCATTTTGCATCATAGCAAGAACGAATGATCGATGGTATTTTTCGGATATGTATGGGAAAAAGTTCCAAAATGATTAACAGTCGATTCTATACGTGAGTTTGACAAGTTAAGTTGGTACATTCGTGTAGGTTTGGAAGTTGATCCGGGAAAAGTGAAAATAATGAAGTTACAAAGGTGATAATTGGAAATAATAAGTTAGGGAAGTGACTAAAGTTGGAAGAACATGGAAATAATTAATAGGGACAGCGCACCTGAAGATCTTAATTCTTTATGATTCACTGTTTCTTAAATCTCAGACTGCAATGATAACTTCTCGATGAAAAAGAAATTATTCCATGTCTATGTAAAACACATTTTCCAAGTTTTGTGATTACATTCATGTTTTGGCTCATTAAAAATGTCAACGGCGCGTTTACATTGTAATGGCCTGTTTTACGTTGATTAACGATACTAACGAGCTCATTACTGTCACGAACGTAACACTTAAATGATCGCAAATTATTCCCGATTTTTCTGTAAGACTAATCATTTCCTCGACCGAGAATCAAAGGAAACACACAAAAACCCAATAATTGTGTTACAACCCCATCGAATTCATAAGAAACCGCTACTAATTTCCTCTCAACATTTCAAATTACCTAATAACCACTTACAGAACAAGAAGGAGCAAAACGTCGCCAGCGGTCTCTTAAGTGTTACCATCATTCATTTTCCTTCCTTTCCAATATTCCATCTCTAAACATTTACCCGTTTCAATTGAACTTCACCTCTTTACTATTAAATTGAATTCGTTTCACCAGAAAAATAACTGAACATCAATACCTAAAGCTTCTTCCCGTGCGTTAGTCCTCGAAACCGTTGCTAAGTCGGAAGCAAGGCGTTCCTGTTGCCGTTTCCGCTAGACGATCAGCACTCTTCTGAATTCATTCCTAGTCGTTACGAAATCCGGGAGAGATTAATGGCACCATTATTTGAGGTTCCCTTGAAAAACCGATTCGGCCTCCTCTTCTTGATTTCGAGACCGAACGAAAGCGATACCGCGTGACGTCATCGCTCATTGTCAGTTTCGAGCGTGACCGATCAGAAAATGGGGCGAGCGAAGCTCCGCGGGTTCCCAAGCGAGCAAGAGTCGGCCGATTTCGCAAAGCTCGGAGGAACGCCTGGTAGGAGAGGAAGCCGAGATAGGATCTAGGCTTGTTGCATAAGGATGAAAGTACCGACCGACTGAGTAAATAATAACGGTTACGTAGCGTGGAGACGGCGCGAGGCTCTTCTTCGCTGAAAACACCGTAACAAGAGCCCGGTGGAAGGCGTCCCGGTGCGTGTAGCGTGGGATCCTCCACGAAACCTGGCCCATTGATCGTCACGGAGCGCGCCTCGGCAATTATCGTTGCCACTGTACAACAATTATTCCCGGGCGTTGGGCGTGAATCAACTCGGCCACACGGGCGTAGATTCCATTTTCTTGATCATCCTTTTCTGAAGCAACGTTTGCTCTTCCAGTTGATCCGCTCATCGTTTGCTCTGGTTCCTTCTTGCGAATTGCGCGAGCCATTTTTTTTTTAAATTGTGTAAGTCTGTTTTTAGAAGAAATTTGTTACTGGTGGTTTTAGTGGGATATAGATAGGCCTTTTTTATATTTATAATTACACGATCAATGAGGTATAAGAAATACAAAAAGTTTTAATAGATATTTCTATTTATCATGTTAAAAGAAGAGCGTCATCCTCAATGAAGAAGATCGTGGCATATAATTTCTAACTTGAAATTACCATTTTTCTTTCGTCCAACGGTTTCGTGCTACCGAAATGTGCATAAAGGGAGGATCTTCTTGAGAACATGGTAATGTTCACGTTTTCGAAATGAGTGATGTTTGATTCGGAATGAATGGGATATTCTTTTTTCAAGTGGTGTAAGTCCATTTTTAAAAAGACACGAGTTAATGGTTTTATTGGTTGGTCGAAAAGTTTCGTCGCATATTTTTCCACTGTGATCGATGCAACTACCTTGGTATGAATAATTTATTAAGAAAAAGAGGAAAATTCTAGGCATATTCTATATATATGTTTGCTCTAAAATACAATAACCGATAGCAGAAGAATAAGTATCTTGCCAAAATCTTTTAAAAGAGAATCGTTTCATTTTATCCCAACAATTTTCTATTGATTAGTCACAGCACAAAAACGCAGATAGCCTCTTACATTGGAATATTTCTGATTCACTGATTATGAGATTCAAGAGATCGTAGAACTTCTTATTTGTCCTCTCGAGTCGCTAATGATTCAAGGAAACGGTTCATTGATTGTAACAAATGGAAGGAAAAGAATAGTGGTAATAGGAATTGCATCACATCAGAAGTATCGATGTATTCGGTTTAATTTTTACATGAACAGCAGTTGCCTGCGTGTCTAAATATCGAAGGTTTAATTATATTTTTAACAGAATGACGTTGATTACATGTTAAGATGCGTTACTAATGTATTATGTATTCAGCAAAAACAAAAATGTTTCTACATCTTACGTCAAATAGTTTGCTCACGTGTACGGATAATATTAGTATTTTAATATTGTAGAATTGATATACTTGCAGTTATTTCCGTATGTATAATTTTTAGAAATCACGTTTTCTGTTTATTGTCCACGTTTTCCTAACCCCGAGTCATCTGTAAAACTTATGATCTTCGCGCCCGAAATCATAGTTTATTATTCCAGTAACATTGAAATCTAAATCAAGTCATCGAACAAACAGAGGTAGGTGCTAATTAAACAACGAAACAACTTGTTACTTCCCATTCGATTGCCTCGTTCTATGGTAATAAGTGAGAATTGCCGCGAACGGCTCAGAATCCACGGGAAGCTTATTTATTGCCGGCGGAGATGAAATTGCACGTTCGGGAACATTCTTTTGTTCCTCGTGTATCTTGGAAGACGGTAATTTTAACGATCTGTCATTTCTGAATCTGATAACTCATTGTGTCAACGGCTCACTTTCTGGATTCTTATTATATCCAATCTTAAGCAATTCAATATTAATTTCCGTTGTAATTTTGCAACTCAACGGTTCCATGTTTGAACAAGTGCATGAGAAAGATCCCTTATTTTATCCTTCTTCTTATACGATTGGTAGTAGGAAGCATTTACTTCGACACTAATACGAATTCCATTATATATCACGGTAAATAATTTAAAAATCTTTGATCTCGATAGCGTTCAATCTTAAATTTTTATTTTTCTGTTCGGCTCAATAGTCGTCGCGTTTAATAGCAATTTTATCATTTTTGTAATGCTCGATCTTTACTGAATTTTAATAGTAACCTTCGTTAATATTTTATAATTCAATGCTTCAACATTTCACTTTGTATACTGGTATATTAAGTATCTGGATAAGGAGTCATTCTTGCAGTCTTTCTTTTCAATTTACAGCCCGTTTCGCTTTTGCATGAGTGTCACGTTCAATATCCACGGAATTGACTAATGGTCCCCGTTGGAATTTTAATATTCAGTCCTTGAATATTTTACCTTCTGCAGTATTATTATATTAACTGCCCAATTAAATAAAAAAAACTAACATATCTTATTACTTCCTTTTCGTTCAATACCTTTGGCATTTTATTTCTCATATTTATCAATCAATTTGACATTTACAACTTACAGTCTAAAAGTAACCTTTTCATTTGCAACATACAACTCAACAGTAATCTTTATTCAAAATTCACAATTTAATGCTAACTACATTAACATTCAACTGTTGATGGTGACTAACCTTCCTATTGATGTGACCACCTAAGAGAAGTAAATAAACAAATAAAGAAAATAAAAAGTAAATAAAGAAAGAAACATAGAAATAAACAAATAAACAAATTAGAAAATAAAGAAATATATTAATATTTTTTTACCATACAACTTCCTGGTTCTGTAAAATATCATAGTTTAAGCATCCACACGTTACTGAACGTCTCCACGAACTTGTTGGTCGGTCGTACTGTCACATAATTGGTCGCTGTCGAATTATTTCCTCCTCGAAGTGAAACGCAAGGACGACAATGCGTGAAGCACGTCAACAGGTTCAAGGATCAAGCGTAAACAGCGGCCGGTTATTAAATATAATTTCTGAGCGTGGAGCGCCTCCACTTCCGGAAAGTGGCCGGCTGGAAACATTGCAATCAACGTTCTCAGTCGCGCGAAAAATTTCCGGAAAGGCTGGCGCATCATGTTCACCGAGGATTTCCTTGATTCCCCATGCACGATGATGGATTGATCGGGCTAATCTCCGAGGAAGATTATTCCACGATACTCTAAAACTCATTTAGATTTCGATATGAACGTGTCTTACGCAGATCTGAACTGACTTTACATGCCATTCGTCGATCCTGTTCCACGCTGAAAAGAGAAATTTAGTAGGTGCCTGCGTTCATTGCCTTACGTAAAAACTTTAATCTCGAAAATGTAATTTTACACGCGTACCGAGGGGAACAGAATTTTAACCATATATCGATAGCGTGTTTCGAAATATTTCACTCCGAGGAATACAATTCCGAAATTTCTGGTGAAACAAATGGTTACTATAATTAATAAATAATGATTACTATACATCGAATTACTATAATTCATCCAATTAAACGATGATTTTTCGCAAATATTTTTATGTTATAAATAATGCTACCCATTGCGGTGACATTCAGTTTGATGAACGTGCTATGATAACAATCCAATTTTGTTAAATGATTTAATATTATATTTTTCCCATTTTGTGTATGTTTCTTTATGAAATCGTCCGACGTTCAATGTGTTAAATGCTAAAATATAAGCTTCAGATTCAAACTTTATTGGATGTTCATTTTTTCGGTCGATACAACACATTGTTAATATGAATTTCTAATTATCATACATCATATATCATATATCATATGAAATTATCATTGTTATTATTATTGTTACTAATACTTCATTACTATTATTAGAATTATTATTAATATTATATTTTTTAAAAACAAAGGAAGTCCGTATAATAAGTAACCACCAATAAAATAAAGAAACAGAGTTAGCGGGATATTTTTCACGGAAACAACCATTAACTCTCTGTGCGGCGAATAATTGAGGCATAACGTGTTTTAGCGGAAATAAAAATCGATCGCCGACTTTCCCCGTCTTCGAGCGCCGAGGACGTTCCGGCGGCAATGATCGCGTGGCACGAAACGCGATGGATTCGATAAGATCCGCCAGATGCTGCCGCATGTGCTCCCCGAACCGTGTAAACACGGCTTTACACGCGAACAGGATCGCACGCATAGCGTGCACTCGATGCATCGCGTCGATACAACCTCCTGTTTCAATTTCGCCCTCGTTTCTTCTTATTTTCTATCTAAGTCTTCCGAAACGTGTCAATCACCGTCGACCGGGATTACGCGTTTCATGTTTCTCGCGGCCAACCGAAATATTTCCGATCGTTGAACCACGATATTAACATTTTTTCCATAGAAAATCGCGTCGGAAACGTATATCGTTGGAAAAGGTCTCGAAACTTTAGAGAAACCTAGAAATACTGTTAACGGAAATACTTGAGTGGTCACTATGTTTCTTGAACAAAGGTTACATTATAAACTCTCCTTTCGCCGGAGATATTCATCGATGTTGAAATCTGATTGTTGAGAGTAAGCATTAAATATATTGTTAATGGTAAGAAGGAGGAAACCATTTTTATTGCACTCGCTGAGCGTCTTTTCCTTCGAGTCGTTCGGTAGTTCACAGTAAACGTTCAAGCAACGAACAGCGTTCCTGTTCAGTTTTGTAAATCACCTTCTTAAAATACACATTAATGAATACATACTTAGTTTCAAACGCTGTTGTGTTTATTTTGCAAATAAATATTCAACACTTATGATGCACTGAAGACGAAATTTCATTTAATGATCCTGTAGAATTACCATATTTCTTGTTTAAGAAATTTATAGTACGATAACGAAAGAGACGCGAATTGAGATCATGAAAGAAAACGGTATCAGAAGGAATGCCAAGAGCATTTCATGTTTCACGTTACTCTATCAAGTATCCCTATTTAAGTATTTACCAATTTCCCGATGTTAGACGCAATTGAGTCACACCTCGTTCAATTACGGCTAACTGAGGAAAGGATAATGCCCGGTCGCGGGACCGCAATTTCGTAACGAGTTACCCGCGAACAATAACAGTTTTCCTGTTTCTCTTGTTTCAGGTGAGTATCGTTCCGTTGCGGGCAGTCGATGATTTAAGTTCCGTTCGGTGAGTACGAGAAACACTTGGCGCACTGCGATCGTCTATTATCGCGGGAGCCGTGTGTTTATCCAATTTCCATCGATTTTCTGGCGTCTCCTATTGAAAGTCATCGCGCGCATGCGTTTGTACGGTGACGCAAGTGTATTCACGGCCGACCGTGAAAAATTTCGTGCCGCTCGGCCATGAGAACAGATGAACCAACGTTCGATGCTCGGTGTGCGGGAAAATGTGAAATTTGATGGACGGATGGAGGACATTAGAATATACGTTCTCGGAATGTTAAACAGCTAGCTGGCTGGCCGAGCAAATGCGTCGGAGCTTCGCTTGTTAGTCGATGTTACGATGATCGCCCGACAAATGACGCACTTCCCATATTTAAATAAGACAACAAGAACTAATGACATTAGTTCCTGTTTTTCCACGAAGAACTTTAGTACTATGGTCAATGTATTCAACCTTTTTCCATCTAATAAATACGTAAATCCATGCATTGAAACTGTGCGAATATTACGTGTTATACACCGTCACCGATAGGCGATGAGTGCAAAAAGTAGAATCGTAAATCTGTCTTGAATGAAGAATGATTGAACGTCGTGTCAGAATAATACGAAAATACTATCGTAATAATTGATGAAATATAATCGTAATAAATTTTGCCTCTCTATACAGAAATTCGAATTAGGACTACAAAAAGACACACCACCGTGTGGACGGAAAACAGTACGCAAAATTAATGAACATCGATTACACGTAAACGCAAGTTACGAACACGTTGTTTACTAAAATTCTTCCGTTCGAAGCTATCGTTGATCTTTCACCGATGAAACTATGCTGCCCAATACTTACAGGCACACCGTGCACGAACGATCGGTTTTTACGGAATGAGACTTTTATATTCCACAAAACCCCGTCGGATTTCTGCGATTTCATTGCTTAAACAGGCAAATCATTTCTAATAATTTAGCGTTACCATTATTTCCAAGCGGCTCGGTTGCTTCCCACAAAAACGCTGCTTCGATCAAGTGGAACGTTTCAGCGGCGGCAGTAAAGTTTCTGTGTCAGTAAGCTTCGATGCTTCGGTCGCCTGACCGATCGTTCGATTAAGTAATAGAGGCACTAAAAAACAAAAGAAAACAAGATGAAACCAGGAATAGAGAGCGAGAGAGAAAATCGACGCGAAAAAGCGCTCGATTCCTAGGAATCCCCGACGAGGCTCCGCCTCGGGGCAAGAATTCGATTCAGCCGCGATCTCCTTTGCTTGATTTGACGTCATCGCCGGGTACCCGGTGCCGGCGAAAGTGTTTTATATCCTTTATCCATAGTAATGGGACGGATTTCATCGGCGCTGGCCGGGATAATTCAATCGGAGAACGAACGGCATCTCAGTCGGCCACTGACTTAACGACATTCTTCTCCGAGAAATGCCTCGAAACGACCCGATAGGCACGCGACGACGTTCAGAATTTACACGGGAAGCGCTTATGTCTACTTACGATAACTTACCCGGCTGAATCCGTCCAATAGGATGCGTCGAACTTTTTCGCGGAAAGTGTGTATGTATAATATACACTTTCGATGTAGGAAGCACTTAACGTTTCTTTCGTTATTTGCCGCAATGATCGGAACTCTGAATAAATACTTGAAACATGTTCTCGATGTATAAAATACTTAGTGGTTCTTTCGATGATTGGTAGAATAATTGGAACGCGTGTGTATGTTGAATGAATATATAGTTGAAATATATTTCTAGTGCGTAAAATGTTTAATGCTTCTTCCGATAATTGCTGAAATAATCGGAACGTTGAATAAATACTTGAAACATGCTCTTAATGTGTAAAATACTTAATGGCTCTTTCGATAATTGAAACGCCGAATGTCCGTTTGAAACGTATTTCCAATATGTACGAGGCTTAATGCTTCTTTGAATAATCGACTCGCTCAGAAGCTAATGCGGTTAAATTGATTTTTGTAAATTTTAATGGAATAAATAATATTCTTTTTCGTTATTAAAGGATTTACTCGTTTCCTCGTTTTTTTTAGGCCAGAAAGTCCTTCCTTTTATAGCTTCTGAATGTGTTGTATAATAATTTCAGAAGTCAAAACGTTAAGTTTCTCAACTTTCATTTTCTAGACATAACCGCGTTGGCTCAGTGATTATAACAATTGAAACGCTTGAAATACATTTCCAATAAAATCGAAGACAATGAACAGGGAACCGCGGAACGATGAAATGATCGTGAAAGTGAAGGTAACGCGCAGTTCAATCGTGCTCTGTAATAAGTGCGTTAAACGAGATAATTGAAGCATCCTATTCCTTGCTGGTAAACACCACCAATTATGGAAACGAACATGAAACGGATGCAAACACGAAAGCGTAATTGTCTTAGGACTTGGCGAGGAATGAATAATTAATTTGATTATGAGAGCTTCATAATGCGAAAGAATACAGAGAAACGTGTGTACAATTTTATCAAAAGTATCAAAAGCTCAAAATGAAAATATACTCTCAAAAATATATTTCAACGTAGAATACCGTCATCCACGTATTCACAAAAGGTATTTACACATTAATATTATTATCGTCGATCATTCTTACATTGCAGTAATTTTACAAATAGCCATACAAACTGAAACCGATCGAAGAACTGATATTTTCAGAAACTGGACGAATTCTCCATTAACGATCTTCTCTGTAATTATCAATGGTACCTCGGACAGAATAATTTCACTATACTCGATTTATGCAAATGTTACCGGAGATGATAAAATAGTATCGTATCTCCTGGACCCGCTGAAATGCCGGTTCTGTTCTAATGGCAGGCAAGAGAGCGATCTCTGACGGTCGCGTTTATGTAACACGAAATGGCAATGCAACGATGTACATAACGGCACGCTGAATTCTTCATCCTGCGGCAGGTTCCTCCACGGTTTCGTAGCGCGTGGAACTTTAATGACGCGGAATAATCGGCATACGACGTCAAGCAGGTGGCTCCGGCGCGTTACGCGCGCGAGGTCAACGTTTACAGAGATTGATCATCCGAGATTTTTAAAGTTGCATCGCGGGAGTTTGCGAGCCGTTATGATCTCATCTCAAAAGGTCCCTTCCACTCGGAGGTACGGTCTTTAACTGTTTTGAAGTAGCAGTTTGGTATTGCAAACTTGAACGATTTCTCAGCACTTACTAACGAAGAGAAAATAACATACGAACAGTGCGTAGCTCTTAATTATTTTAATAATTCATTCAGAGATAAAATACGAAACGCTAAGAGAAAACTGTAATTAGACTTCAGATATTTAAAGTCAGATGTTCGATAAAGACTTTTCATTTATTTGTAGCTTAGTAAAGTCTTTAATTAAAGTATATTATGCCTGCGTTTCTGTTCCTGGAAATGAATCGTTGATAATCTACATTTATAGCAATGAAAGTACTGTATAAACTTTAGAGGTATATTACTGAAACACTGAAAAATTGATTTGGAATACTTTTGACCTTTGAGTCAGTAATACAGCACAATGGAAAATGATCAAGAACAATAAATTACTTTTATTGAATAATTCACATTTACGTAATGTATGTATTATCACATTACAATCAAGTAATCCTATTGTTATATTAGTTTCCAATATATTTATTAAAAAAATAATTCACGTTTACTAATGTTTGATTATATTCAGACAGGCATAGTAATCTAACTGTTTACCCTTTCATTCAATTACATTCAATAACTCTTGGTAAGAATAATGAATCATGTTTGATCGCGTTTGACGATGTTTGAACGCGGTTAAGCGGCATTATAAGAGAACAATTTCATTTGGATCATCCCACTCCCAACGAAGTTGAAAGTATAGTACCTCCCAGAAAACAGGAAACGCAATGGAATAATACTGATTGAAATCTGAGTCTCTCTAGCCCATAAAGTTTTTTAAATCACGTGGTAATTGCGGATGGCTATTATGAGTGCGGCAATCTCTGCGAGAGAAAGTGTCTGAAACTGGTAAACATATGTCATAAGGCGCGCTCGTTGCAGAAGTTTCCAAATAGCTCTCTTGAGAGACACAAGCGGTGCGCATTGTGACGTAGAACAGAAAGAAAATGAATTCAGTTAGAGTAGTATCAAACGCTTGCATCTGGGCCGATTATTACGCTCGCGGGTTGTTGCTCGTTGCTTCACTCGAGCTGAACGTCGTCCCTTAATGATGCGAAACCGCTGGTTTGGGCCGAACGGTTGAGTAGAAAGTGTCTGGGAAACGGCGAAGATCCTCGTCGACGCGACGCATTGACGTAATTCACATGCTTTCCCTCGAGTCATCATCCTTCTGGACTGACAAGATTTGATCGGTGTTGTAGTCCATCTGTGTGGCACATTGCTGGTGATATTTTTATTATCTTTAATAGTTTCGTAACATCACGACTGATTAGAATACTCATATTCTTCCTTTAACCGAGACGGCAAATCACTCTCGAAATAAATGTACATTTTCATTCACTTTCATTGTTTGACACTGTTTGAATACAGAATATTTTTGCTTATCAAACATAAATGCTTAAACGTTAGAAGTTCTTATGTGTTCCTTAAAATCTCAAATAAACGTTCTCACAATTGTTAGTATAGAATCAGTATCTGCTATCATTGTTATAACATTATTCACCTAGAAATGAAAGAATGCTCGTAATATAAAGACACAGATAAATATATGAGAACATTTCGAGAAAGTTAATTAAACCCCGAATTCGAGTGTCATTCTGTATAGTTGAACCGGTATATGAAGCACCGTGGAAATCGTCGATTGTAGATTCAAAGCGTAGAATTTCTGCGCGTTTCGTCACCAATTTGGAAATCTAATTCCCTTTGCAGTCACGGGTCGCCAGGGCGGGACGCTCGCATCGACGGAATTCCGATTAATAATTATACCGGGCGAAATTCTCTATCGGCGTGTCGAAACGCGCGCGCGAGCCTCGTGCCGCGTTTTACAATGTTTACGAAACAGGGGGGCACAAGAATGTAAAGCCGGAGCCAATGGGATCTGGAGTAGAGTTATCTCGTGCGGTGACGAGTTTAATTAATGGCTTTCACGTCCTAATCCCGCATTTTAATTTGAGCTCGTGTAATTGTTCCGACGATCCAAGATGTTCCTTACAGTAATGGCAGAAGCATGCTTCTCAGGACAATCGCACCGTTCGGATTTATCTGTCGGAATGAATCTCTTACACGTTACAATCGCTAATTAAGTTTATGTTTATTGTTATCCGCGCATTATAGTCATAACATCAAATTGACTTTGATTTACGTATTAGTCTAGACGGATCGCGGAAAATTTCAAATTGATACGCTATCTCGAGCTTTAGGTGTTAAGTCCACTAGAT